CTGCAAAAAAAAATTACAAAGCCATTTAGTCTGGAAAATTGAGAAATTCATTATCAAACAAATAATCCTTATTAAAAAAAGTTTTTGTGCTTATGAAGAAAAACTTTGAAAATCTGTCAAATTAAGATTTGGTAAAATGAACAAAGCAGATCCAAATTATTGTATTGTGTATTAACGTGTATAAAGCAACTTTTAAATCTTAAAAATTACCCTGAAAATTGGGGATTGTCTAATACAACAGTTATAAATAGCTAACCTTAAATCCTGTTTGGTTTGGTTTATTTTGTTTTATGGCATATCAACTTCAATGGGTTATTTAATGCCAGCAAAATTTTTTATTGCTGGTAATATTTTGTTTTGTCAAAAATCTATTTTTGGTAATATTTTTCTTTCAAAATTGTATTGCTGGTAATAATTTTTTCAAAAAAGTATTGCTGGTAATAGTTAACTATTTGCCCATAGCTGGGACCCTAACAGCTGCTACCACCCCAGGTCAGGGTGGACCTGGGAACACCAGCAATTAAGAGGTGGTTCCATGCTCCTCAAAACCTCCTGATCAGAGGCCTTGCTGCTGGATGTAGTTTATTATCTTACTCAGGACGCTTTTAAATCCTGTGGTGTATCGGCACTGGTAAGTAGGTTGATATGCTTGCACTGTGGGTCATGGTAGGCTAACAACTGCTTCGGTATGGTAACTACCGATGTAAATTTTTTTTAACTAATGTTCACCCAATACAAGGCCTAAGAGCCCTTCAAGGTAGATGGTTACTGTGTGAAGTTATATTAGTGTAGGAAAGGACAAGCGTTAGGAGTATAGAGCTGAGGTAGACTTTAGAAGGAACCGGAAACCCAATCCTACCAAAGGATAAACGTCAACTTCTGTTCAAAAGGTCAAAGGGTTTGAACAAGAAATATTTCTAGTTAAAAGAATTCACACTCTAATGCTGTAGTACAGTTATAAATCTAATAAAACTATTTTTACTTATTGATTTCACATTAAAATGCAATATGCAAGAGATGATTACATAACAATTTTTCAAAAGTTCCACTGAGCAATACACACAAATAGCATAATTGTATGGACACAACTTTTGTCTTCATTCATACAAGTTGTAAGAATGAAGTTGTTATTTTCATAAAGATTCATGTTAATACTTTATATTATTTTATTCCTCTAGATTTGATAATGATAAACGTAAGTAAAACAACATTTGTAATAAAAAAGTTTTATTTTATACATGTAAGAATATTATGACAGGCCTTATTGCTATTGGCGGCATAAGCTAGCTTATGTTTTCGGTCATCTTATAATATGTATATGGGGCTGTAGCAGCCGAGGGGGGGGGGACAGGGGGCCTTGGTTCCCCCTAAATTTTTACCAATTGTAGTATTTTTTTATAGGGTTTTATTTTAACAAAAACACAATAAAGAAAGAAATACAAGAAAGAAAAAAACTATCAAACCAAAGGTCGTACTGGAAATTTTAAATGTTCTTGCCATTAACCATGTAGGTGGCCTTTGATAACTTATGGCTAAATTCTAAATTTTTTTTTAAAAAGATTTGCCTCTGCTACAGCCCTGGTATATCAGATAAAATCACAAAAATTTACATAGATTTTGGGTCCTTGCTTACTTACAGGTCACCTTATATGTGGAAATATATAGTATATTATTAGAATATATTCTGGTAATCAATTTCAGGCAAAATTAAAATCTCTTTCTATTGAAAATTATTAATAAAATATGATATCCCTACTGAGTGGATACCAACTTCACATAAAATTTAATTAACTTATAATTCATGGAGAAAAATAAAAATTACACAACATTTAAAACATATTATTAATCTATAAAGTTTCAGCTTTTAAGCATGTATAGCAGGATTTCTCCATCAGGTTCATATCACCCACCAGTGGACGATTTCAACTGTTGAGTGGGGAATAAGCAACTGAACAGAAAATGGTGGGCAATTGGAAATTGTGGGTGATATAGGATTTTGAGTATCAAAAAAGTTATTTCAACATAGACTACCAAAAAAATATTCAAAAGACATATGAAAAAGCACCTGTATGAAAAAACAAATAAAAACATAAGACATTATTTACATTATTCGGACTATTGTCCTCATCTTATCGCCATATTTATTACAACGTTTCAGCCGTTGTACACTCCGGAATGTTGGACTTAACCCTTTATTTCACTCACTGAGGTAGACTGTTCTAGTTCCACATGCCATGTTTAATGGATGTCAGTTATCTCCTGTTAATTTCCCTCTGAAAGTTCTCCACTGCCTTAACCGGGTATTGAACTCACACTCTTTGTCCTGTCACTGGATCTAACTAACGCCTTTATCCACTGTGCCTTGTGTATGAATTTCTGGGTATTATAAACCTAATGTCTTCAGCAACCATTTTTACCAGTGCTCATATTTCAATTTTTGTATTTATGGCTGAAACGTTGTAATAAATATGGCAACAAAGATGAGGACAATAGTCTGAATAATGTAAATAATGTATATAATACCTCAGAAATATAGACAAAAACATAAGACTAAATATGAATAACTGGGTCACATTCCTCGATAAGACATAAATATCCCTGTAAACAACGAATAGTTTAGCATTTTCTATAGTTCTGGGAAGGGTCATTAACATTCAAATAGTTCTTAAGACAAAATAACATTTTTTTTTGGATATTAATCAGATAATTGAAGACCAAGTACAAATTTGCCAATAAAATGAAAGAGTGACCTCAGGATAAACTTGCCAGCATTGAGAAATCACACATAAAATTAACACAAGCAATGACCTCAAAGAACTCTGATGACCAGCCATATACAATAAGATGTCAGTTGTAATGCCAGACAAAATGTGAGAATTGAAAGATGAGACTTGTTCACAGCTCAACACACATATTCATATAAACAGACAGCTGCATTGGTTACCAAGTGATTACAATGCTCTTGTGTTGTATTTCTTGATTATTGTAAATGGACTTTTAGTAACAATGTAACTTTGTGAATGAAAATTTAGTTATCTATTGTTCCTACTATTTTCTCTTTGTGTTGTACAATTTTTAAACATGCTAATGCTTCCAATCAAGAAAGTTTGTTGTCAATACAATGTTGACTATTTATCTTATGGGTTTAGAGCTTCTCCGCAGAAAAGTCAGTTACCTGTGTCTTATGTACAACCAAACTGTAATACACTTAAAGTATCATTTATGTTCTAAGAATCCTGGCCAGAAGGAAAAAACGTTCTCATATTTTTATAGCTTAAGACCTCATTTGAAAAATGGGAAACGTTGATCTCGGAAATTCAGAAAGTAACTATTTGGTTCACATATTTTAATAATTTAGTAAATGTTTATAAATTTATGAATAAAAAATTGTTTTCATATTTTTTCTTTATAAATTGATATAAATGATAAATTTTGCATTGCATTAGTTTTTACAATGTTGTAAATACAAAATTATTCTTGTAAATAAACAATCTAATAAATAAATAATGTTTAATATTTTTGTTGTAAATTCTCAAGAACAAAAACATGTATAAATTCACTTTCATTATATGTTTAGGTTTAATTACAAATCTAATCATCACATAAAGAAGGCATGGTGGAGTAATGGATAGCAGCTTGGATTGAGGAATCGGAGAGCCGAGTTCGAATTCCAGTTGAATCCAATTCATTCACTTACCTGCTAATACCCTTGGGAAAGGTATGAATCCTCTTCTTCTCTCCCCAGCTATGGGTAAGTAGCAGGACAGATCGGGTTCTATAACCTTGGATGGCAACTGGTATACCGCAGCAAGAAATAGCAACTTACTATGGGAAAAAATCTGTCTTGTCAGTCATGTATTGAAAGATACATGATCCCCTAAATGTATATCACGCATGGCACATAAGTGAATCATCACATAAAACATGGCCAAGGAGTGAAGGTAGTTAAAATAATAAGAGCGTCAATGGGAAAACCATCCTTTTGACACTCCACGTTTTTTGCAGGTATGAAGATTCAAGTTTACCTATCCATTATATTCCAATTAGTTCATATATAATGCTCGTCATAAAGCTCATCATATTCATAAAATGGGGAAAATAAATAATATAAGCTACACATAATACTACATACCAACTCGATTGCAATTACACCTGAAAAGAATTTATCTAAACTTGATATAAAATTTGTTATAACTGTTTACAAAAGAACAAGATATTTACTTAATACAAAACAAAATATCAACTTAAAACCTGAAACAGGAATTTACACTATAGACAATAATAAATGTCACTAGTGAAACTTGTAGGAATTTGAATAAAAGAATATATGAAAACAAAAAGCAACTTTTATGAAACAACACATTTAATGTATTAGTCATAAATTTTAAAGAAGATTAGACAAAGAATAGGTATAATTAAATGTTGCTTTACAAATCTTTTTTCTTCTACAATAATGTACACCCTGGGAGTCTAATGAAGCCATTGAACAAGAAACATGATCAGGCATATACCAAGATGCTAAGAGTGATGAAAAATATCAGTTGACAACAAATATGACTAGCCAAATGCTCTGAGATAACTTACCAAAGATGATGGTTACAATTTCTGTGAGGAGAATAAGATTTGCCAGACATTGTTGGAGAAAATGAATGAAATCATACAAAAAGTCTTACTCTGGGATTCTACAAAAAGGAAATGATCTTGTAGGAGACCAACATGTACCTTCATTGCTCAATTGATTGTGAATACTAACTTATTAAAAGAGCTACTGCAAACTACAATGGAGGACCATGCTGCATGGAGAAGACAAGTCATGGATGTTGAATTACAGTTGATTTGATGATAAACAATAATTTACTTTTGTATGAACTCAACAGAAATAGTGTTGTTATGGTTAAAGAATTAAGCCCAACAAGTGAATTCAATAATTCAATTCTTTACCATCCATGTGAAAACAACTTAGAAACATACTTAATCTTGTGAAATAGATTCCTAATGAT